GGGGCGCAGCCCGCACTCTGCAAGGCAGCCGGGGAGCGCGCGTTGGGCGAAGCTCCCGGTGCCGGACCCTCGCGCTGGAGGGCGAGGGAGACGCGTGGAGCGGGAGCGAAGAAGCTGCTAGATCCAGGCGGAGATCTTGGGGACGTGGGAGAGGAGAGGGGCACTCACCTGAGCATTTCAGAGCCACAATTCGACCCGATTCACAGCTGCTCCTGTGCGGGAATAAGCCTCTGGTGAGAATGCACATGAACCAAAATCCCTGGGGCACTAGGGAACCCCAGGGCAGCCGCAGCAGTCCCCAAAGGGGCTGCTTACTGCACAAAACCAGGGCAAATTTCTATGTCCTTAAGCCCCTGTTTCAGCCCCACCAGCAAACTCTGCTTCCCCCGGAGCTGCCCTTACCTGACCTGCCACACGTCTTCCAGGCTGCCTCCCTGGTGGGGTCTCACCTGAGCGAACTCCTGTGTGTCATTCACCTTGACGTCGGTCAGGTTCACTCCTTTCTGATGGGCCATTCTGCAGAAGGAACAGTAAGTGTCCCAGGAAGGGGCTGGGGACCTGCTGGAGGATCAGCAATATAACCCTGCCACGGGAACAATGGTCCCCAGTCCTGCCACTCTGGCTCCTTGGCAGGAAGGCTCTTCCGTAACTCTTCATGCAGGTCCCCATGCCAGCCCAAGCGTCACCTTCCACCCTGCGTTCAATGATGTGGCCCTGCAGCCCTGACAAACCCCCCTGCTTTTGCCAAGATCATTGCCCTCAGAAAAAGGGCGAGTAGGGGTTGAAGCAGCCGCCTCTGCCATGCCCACCTGAGGTACCCGAGCTGCCGGCAGAGCAGGGTGCCCAGGGAGAGACTCCAGTGCTCGTGGCACGCCAGGAGCCAGCCAGGATGGCCTTCCACCCGCACTTCCAGCAAGGAGTTTGCTGTGTTTATTCTGAAAGACACTAAAGCCATTCCATTAAAGACAGCCTGCAAGTTCCCTTCCTTTCAGTGTTTTGTGCAGGGCCAGCACAGTCGATGGTCGTGCACATCTAAAGGGAAAACACACCCGAAACCCCAGGAAAAGCCACTTGAAGCAATTCGAAACTACATGCGAACCTATTGGCACATTCTCAGAGTCTGTGGGGCAGCTCTGCCGAGTGTCTGCATGCAAAGAAGTCCTGCAAGAGTTGCCTTTGCTGTAGGATCACTGCATGCAACAAAGCCATAATGCTGGGGAATGCAGCAGGACTTAAAAGCAAAGCAGAACAACGACAAAATGCAGCTGAAAGCAGCTAGTGGATCAGCAGGAGATATTTATTATTAAAGAGCATCTTTTCTGCTCTTGCTGGGCTTGGCAGGCACCGTCCTGCACACTGGTCCCCTCTCCCCATCCTCTGTGGCAGTAAGCAAAGATGTAAACCTCTACTGGGAGCCCCATGGACCACAGGTTCTTCCTCTTCACCGTCACTGCACGCTGGGCTCGCAGCTGGCTCCTGCAGCAGGGTGAAGCCTTGGTCTGGCTGAGGCTTCTTCAGGTGTTTCACTTCAGAAAACAGAGAGGGGGGTGGAGGTGGACTCACACAGCCTGGGCAGCCTCCGAGGAGGCACAACGTCGGGAACGATCCTGCACTGCCCACTGCCAGAGGGGATGAGCCTCCCAGCGG